TATTTTTTTTTGTTTTTTTGTTTTGTGGCTCTTTTATGTTTTGTGGCATTTTTTTCTAGTGTTGTTGCCTTCGTTGTTGGCAAAGTGTTTCGCGTAGTTTCGCAATTGTCGAGCGAAATTATTTTCGCTTTTCATTCGGCACACACAAATTCACATCTAATTACATGCATTCAGTTGTACTGTAGCTAAATAAGTAAAATACCGTAAACTTTTTACTTTTACCATAACATTTTTTTCACCAAATTCAATTTCGTTTCTAATTATTCCTTCTTTTATTTAGTCAGTAAATCAATTTTCCATATTCTAACTCGATATTTACATAAGCTAATAGTTTATTGTGCAATATTATGTGTGAGTAGTTTGCGCGTTTGTAATCTTAGCTGAGTAGGTGTTTTTTTTATGTGGGTGTGCGCATTAGGGTTGTCCGAGCCTTAAATGTTGAAAAAGGCTTTCAATTTGTTTGTCACGAGCGAGTAGTTTGGATTGATACAAATTATTCAAAAATGGTGGAGAATGAGTAGACAATGAACCACGTCTAGGAAACAACACCAGAAACATCAACATATGATCAAGACGTCAATAAAACAAATGAATTGGTGCTTGAGAAGCGACTATTAACAGCCAGAGATCTTTCAGGTATCGTTGAAATATCGGAAGAATCATTTGAAATAATTTTGAAAACTTAATTGGTCTTAAAAAAATGAAAGCATGACTGGCTCCAAAATCAAAATTTTTTTTTTTTTGGAAAACAGCGTCGTTAGCGACTGTGAAACAATGTTTTCTGACTACCAGTATGTCACCTTACATAATATTACTGAAAATAAATCTGGGATCCATTCTTAAGACCCAGAAATACGATCAATCAGCCGATTATCGTTGCAAAGGTGAGCAGAAGCCGAGAAAAACACCTTGATGCCGATCAAAAATTAAGATAATGTTGACAGTCTCCTTCTATTATCAAGGTATGGTGCACTCAGAATTCCTTCCGACCTGCCAAACTGTTAACAAAGAATAATATTTACGGTACGATAGTTCACCGTCGTATACTGCATTGATTCTTCATGAGTTTTTTTTTTATCATACTTTCAACCAATATCGTGTTACAGCTACCATATTCGCTTGATTTAGCTGGTGTGACTTCTGACTATTCACCAGAACTCAAACGACCCCTTTTGGGAAACCGTTTTGAGTCAATTGAAGACAGTAAGTAAACATGAATCGCCAACTGTTTCGAAGATTGGTTAAATCGTTAGCAAAAGTGCATTGGAGTCAACGGAGATTACTTTGAGGGGACGACATAGAAGAATAAATTAATAATCTTAAAATTATATACTAAGTATTACAACGTTTTAATTTTAGTAGGCTGCCTCGTCACTATTGATGGTCATAAGTACGAAGTCGTAGATAATTTCGAGTAACTTGGTACGCAGAACAATACTTGCCAATAGGTGCTACTTCGGGCTGAGTAGGCAATTGAGTCCTCTGCCTACGAACAAAAAGAAAATTCTATAAGACACGCATTATTCCATTCTTGCTAAGAGGTGCAGAGGCATGGACGATGACAGCAACTGATGAGTCGCCAGTACGAGTTTTCGAGAGAAAGGTTCTGTGGAAACTTTATGGTTCTTTGCGTATAAGTGTCGCATTTGATGCAACGATGAGCTGTAAGAGATATACGACAACATTGACATAATTCAGCGAATTAAGAGCTGCTAGAAGACATCCAATCTGTTCGAAAGACAAAGTAGAGAAGGAACTGGCAGTGAAACGGTATAACGTCGGATGCGCTGTTGTAAATTCCTCTATAACCGCGTAATCGGTGTCTGCACCAATAAAGGGAAGAAAAATAAGGAGCTGGGAGAAGTATTGGTCCGATTTTAAAATTTAGCTATTTTCTATACTAAATACGCAATATCAATCTTCCTTGGGTGACGAGGAACATATGTAGTAAGCTTCATCAAGAAATTCAAATTTTTACTCAAGCTATTGCTTGCTTCGAATGACGAACGGATTTTTATACGGATTTCACCTCGTCTGGTCATGCTGAATATTTGTATATATATATACATATAATCCTATAACTATCTCGATAAGTTTTAGTTGTTATAAGTAACTGCTAGATGAACAAAACTATTATACTGTGTACTGCAACATGTTGCGAGTGTATAATAAGGACCACCCTGATATACATTATTCAACCTTTAAGAGCCCTGTATGAAAACTAGATTTTATTTGAACCTTACGACAACATAAAAATTATTATTTCAAGAGAAACATCAAACATCATAATTTCACATCAATTTGTATTTTAAATGCAAGCGATGCAGAAGGCATTTTTATGACAGCCAGAGTTGCTAACTGGCTAAAATTATGTAGGGAATATAAGCCCTCAACGATTATCTGAGATATTTAAGTTTAGCTGCTAGCGTTAATATCGATTCAATGTTATAATTCGTTAGAAAGCAGACAAGCATTTGATTGATGCAAAATGTAAAATAGTAAAAAAAAATAAAAAATAAAAATTAAAAATTAAAAAATAAAAAATAAA